GGAGACAGTGGTTTGTGAAGAGGAGAGATGGAAGGAAATGAGATGGGCTTTATCCTAGATTCCAGCTTAGGGATGCAGAGCATTTCCTTCCCAGTCGATGGTGGGCTAGAGTTGGGCCTAAGTCTTGTTTCCAGCATGATGCTATATTAAGAAGGATCTGTCCAGAGTTTACATCTCTAACTTCCCTTTCCCCCAACTTTTGTTCTCAACCATGTCTAGCCCGTGAAGCCAGATATGACCTACCTGAAGAATTTGTCTTCAATTCCAAGTCAGTGGAGTGCACGATTTCATTATTGTGCTGAACCGAACATGTCACCGAATCCGAATCATCATACTGCCCGAGCTTGACAGCACTGTACTTCCCTCTGGGAGAGACGGCGATAGCGGTTTCAAATTCTCTTATCTTCTTGGATGATTTGAGACTTATAGTTACATCCTTGGGGTAGAAGTCCTTCACCAGGCAAGCAACATTTGTTCCATTTCTCATGACAAAAACGGATGGTTTGGTAGGAGGCTGAACTTCTGTGAATATGATCAAATTATTTCGTGAGATGATTATCTACAACTTTGTGGGACTTAAATAATGGTGACTATTACCTCAGTTGCCCTGGGGACAAGTGCTACAATCCAGACCTCTGTGCATCCTATAGTGACCTGGGCTTGTTAGCACCTCCATGAAAGGAAGGCCAAGCAGAGCAGAAATGGAAGGCAGGCAGTTCGATTTCTGGTTAGGAGCTATTATAGATAGGTTTGGAAGCAGAGATGAAAAACAGCAACTACAAAGAAGTTCCTGAACCACCCGGGCTTCAATTAGCTATGTCTTCTTAATCAATCCTCTGGACAATTGAGGTTAGACTGAATATCTGTCTGCATTAGTTGGTTTATTTTAGATGCATGGGCTCATGGAGGGAGATGAGGGCAGGTGGTCATGATTGCATTATGTCAATGAAAGAATCAAGGTGCTGTGAAGGACTGCATAGCTGGTTCATATGTTCTGAGAATGG